CAGTTGACTTTGAAGCTGAAAAAGTACTGATCAGAGATAGCAATATGCACGCGACAGCTACTCACGCTCCTCTTCCTAACTGAAAGTGACTGACCTCCCGCTGCGCCGAGTCCCAGAGAAAACTTCCAGCAAGCAGGTTATTAAAGCTTTTCTAAATCTGTTTACACTGCTTGTTATAAAGATTTATAAAAAAAGCCAGTATGTCAGCTGCCTCTCCTAACATAAAGGCTCACAGTATTTGCCTCTACTTTTGTACTTGTGTAGTTTTGTACTTTACAGGTGTGACGCACAATGAGGCTCACAAGAAATTTCTTTACAAATATGACAATACAAATTACATAAAAGTTCAGTTAGCCCAGCTTTAGGTTACGGATATAACATTAGTTCGCGATCCACCCGTCATACGATGAAAGCCTGAGTTCTAAAACATTACATGCAAAATGTGATCTTTAAAATGGGAGTCAGTCATCACTGTCAATCATTTTTCATTCACATGCATGCAGTTATGAGCAGCAGCTCAGAATGTTTGGAACATGTATCTGCTAATAAATTGTATTTATTTATATATCGCTGCTGTCGGAAGAAAACCTCGTATCTTTCAGTTTTTGACATAATTTGTCAGTATCTGTCACCCTTCACATTGTTTTTGTCACATTTACATTAAAAGTATAGTATGTTTTTCTCCTTCTCCTGTAAAGTTACCGTTTTGGAGATATGAGGTTTTCTTGAATATAACACTGGTAGCAGCAAAAAAAAAAATGTAAACATTTGAAACCCCATATTAACAGGGGTTTTAATCGTTGTGCCGAGTGTTGCACAGCACTGACAGTTCAAAAACTACAACAGCTAACTTTTCCCTAATTCAGAGACTTTTCACTGATTCTTCCCAGAGGAAAACTCGTCTCTCCTCTGAAATAAATCACACAGATTCACAACAACCCAAAAGTATGTGGTTCAGACAAATGTTTGCTGACAGAATTCAGCAACTTTCTGCACTCTTAAAAAAGACAGTTCTTCAAGGGTTCTAAATAGAATCACTTCATGCTTAAATGGTTCTTTTCATGGTAAAATGGTTCTTCAGATTGATACAGAGTGCATTGTATGTGGTTCTATGTAGAACCTTTTAGAAAATGGTTCTACATAGCACCACAAGCTTGACATTGTGCAAATGGCAGAACCCTTTCTGATGCTATATGGAACCATATACAACACATTCTCCATGAGTCTAAAGAACCATTTCACCCTGCACAGAACCATTGAAGCATGCAAATGGTTCTATAGAGAACCTCACACCAAACGACTTTTCAAGCGATTTCACTGTCGCAGACAAATTTCCAATGTTGGAATAAAATCATGAGAGTTTTGCTGCAGTTGCGTCGCACTCGCGTCATCTCGATCGTTTATGGTAACCAAAGACTAGAAGACTTTTGAAAGACTGAAGTCTGACGCCCTCTCACACCTAAAGACAGTGTCACGGTTTTTAGTCACAGACCGTGATTTTGCAAAGACTAGGAATCTCGCAGTGTCGCTATTTATAAGACTGCAACTAGGTTTTTGAGAGTATTTCCCATCATGCACCTGGTGGAAATTTACAAGCAGATAAACACTTTTCCTTCCACTGTATAGTGATACAGATGGGAAGATATGTTGGCTGGGTGTGTAAAGATCTGGGGATCAGCCCAGTTCACTGTAGAACTGTATACTCTGGCAGATCATCACCCAGAATTTTATTAATTAACCCATAAAATGTGCAGTTACTTTTTTATTTAACAAAGGTTTACACATCATACAGTGATCCAGCATTGTTGATTGGGTGTTATGTAAAAAACAAACAAACAAGATAAGAAACCAGTGTAACAGCGAGCAAAAAAAACATGATGCTTCTTCAATAATGCCATTGTTAAAGTCCTCTGCATGTTTCCTTACATCACTGTTACATTCAGTGAACCTGAAATATTAAAACAGTCAGTTTACATTTTAAGTTAATTTGATTATTGTATTAAAGTTGAGCAGATTTGCCGTTTTTATAGAGATTTCAGGCTCTCACGCATGCATTCTGCCTCTCTCTCTCTCTCTCTCTCTCTCTCTCTCTCTCTCTCTCTCTCTCTCTCGCGTGCGCTCGCACTCGTGCGCCCCTGGCACGTCATTTGCATGGGCCAAGACTTAAAACTTACGATAATATTAAACACGGTTGATTTTGTCGCAGCGTCAAGACAAGAAAAATACTGAGTTAAGACGGCCGTCCCGACCACCTCACACTAAACGATCAAGATGACGCGCGTGCGACACAACTCTAACAACACTCTCATGATTTTATTCTGACATTGGAAATTTGAAGTGAAGTGTTGAGTCTTGTCTAGTGAAAATGGTGACGTGCCAGGGTGAGAGAAAGAGAGACAGAGAGAGAGAGAGAGAGAGAGAGAGAGAGAGAGAGAGAGAGAGAGAGAGAGGCTGCTGTTTAAGCCCAACCCTATTCAACATTTACATTAATGAACTGGCCACAGCTTTAGAGCGCTCTGCAGCACATGGTCTCATTCTGCACAACTCAGAAATCAAGTTCCTGCTCTATGCAGATGACCTGGTTCTGCTGTCCCCCACAGAACAGGGCCTACAGCAGAACCTGAACCTGCTGGAGCAGTACTGCCAGACCTGGGCCCTGGCAGTAAACCTGAAAAAGACCAAAACAATCATTTTCCAAAAAAGAGAGATCCAGATCTCAGGGAAACACATCCAGCTTCACACTAGGGACACTCAAATTACCTGTAAAGAGTTTAATTATTTAGGATTGAAGATTAGTTCAACTGGAAACTTCAATCCAGCAGTCAATGAGCTGAGAGAGAAAGCGTGCAGGGCATTTTACGCAATCAAACGACAAATTCACTTTCAAATACTAATTCAAATCTGGCTCAAAATATTCCAATCAGTTATAGAACCAATTCTCCTATATGGCAGTGATGTATGGGGGCCACTCTCAAACCTACATTTTGACCACTGGGACAAACACCCAGTAGAAATCATGCACACTGAATTTTGTAAAAACATCCTGCAAGTTCACAGGAAAACAACGAACAACGCCTGCAGAGCTCAATTAGGCCAATTTCCACTGCTGCTCAAAATTCAAAAAAGAACCATTAAATATTGGCTACATCTAAAAAACAGTGACCCCCACAACTACCACTACAAAGCCCTGCAATGCCAAGAGCTGAGCAAAGAGAAGAGCCCCCTCACACAGCTGGTCCTGATGCTGAATTCACTAACACACACTAACACTGTTACCCGTCAGGACCAGCCACACAATCAGACCAAACCAAATTATAACACTCCAAAAACAAAACTACATCACCCATTGGAACACACAGACACACGCACAGAGCACAATGCAGTGCTCTCTGGCCCGAAAATGTCAGTACACTGTAGCGGATTACCTGAACACAGTGACTGACACTAAACACAGAACCACGCTGACAAAGTACAGAACACAGCCTGGCTGTACAGACCGGCCGCTATAAGAGGTCCTGGCTGCCTAAAGAGCAGAGACTCTGGCAGCAGTGCAACAGTAACACTGTAGAGACAGAGCTGCACTTCCTCACAAAGTGTGATAAATACAAACAATTACGGAAAATATACTTTACTAAATTTGAGAAGATTCACCCCCAATTTAGCCGCCTCAGTAATAATGAGAAGCTTCCCGTCCTGCTAGGAGAGAGGAGAGAAAGCAGTGTCTTAGCAGCACAATACACATCTGCCTGCCACAATATGAGGGACAGTGAGTAACCCACCCAAACACACACACACACACACACACACACACACACACACACACAGACACACACACACACACGATATCAAAAACTGCCCTGTTTGTAATCTTTATGTATCTATTTAAATTTCTATTATTTATTTATTTATTTATTTTCTTTTCCTCTTAATTTTCTTTACAACTTAATTCCAAATGACTATTTTTGCTGTTCTTTTATGTGATTCTTTCATAATTATTTTTACATCAAATGAAGTTAAGAGTTCTTACACTCTGTTCTAAATGTTCATTTTTCTTGTTCCTTTTTGATGAAGGTTTGGCAATACTGTAACTAAATATGGTCATGCCAATAAAGCTTATTGAATTGAAAATTGAACTGAGAGAGAAAGAGAGACAGAGAGAGAGAGAGAGAGAGAGAGAGAGAGAGAAATAGCGAGAGAGACAGAGAGAGAGAAAGAGAGACAGAGAGAGAGAGAAAGAGAGAGAGAGCCTGAAATCTCGGGAAAAAACGGGCTGTTTAAATGTTTCAGGTTCACTGAGCGTAACAGTGATGTTTTCTGTTTACATTGGATTCTTATTTTGTTTGTTTTTTACGGTTTAGTTCATAACACCCAGTGAACAATGCTGAATCGCTGCATGTTTCGCTGATGTATTTATCTGCTTGTAAATTTCCACCAGGTGCATGATGGGACATGATCTCAAAAATCTTGTTGCAGTCTTGCAGATGCAAGATTCCTAGTCTTTTCAAAATCACAGTGACTAAAACTGTGACAGTGTCTTTAGATGTGAGAGGCTGTCAGACTTTAGTCTTTCAAAAGTCTTTTCAAAGTCTTTGAGTGTACGGTTAGCATAAATAGGACCAGTCCCTTTACTAAAGAACCGTTAAAGAACATCTTTTTAGAGTGTATTACAAACTTGATTCGAGTCAGTTTAAGGAAATGGATCAGAATTACTGTCCGTGTTCACTGACCGTGCGCTACAGATGGGCGGATAGACATGAAAAATCTCTGAAGTTCTCCTTTAAGTCCTAAAGATCAGTATTGATCTATTTCATACGTGACGGTTGGTGCTCTGCTGTCATATGACTTTTACATAATGAAAACCTGCAGCTTTGACCTGTTAGAGATAAGAAACAAACACACTGCAGTTCATGACATTTTACAGCATCTCCCTGTTGTTTATGGATTATGAAAGAGTGATCAGTTATCAGTTTGACCCTAGAACAGTGCAGGAACATGACAGGTTACCAGGTATCAGAGTCTGTAGTGCGGAAGCCTTTGGCGAAGGGATTACTGGCTATCTTCAACTGAGTGATCTGTGGAGGAGAGAGAAACAGAATTAAAATGTAAATGTACCAACATGATGAGAAAGATGAACGGCATTTCAATTAATCTGCAAGATTATGTGCTGAGTTGCAGCCTGTTTTATAGTTTTCAGTGATTCTGAATGACAGGCTGTTCTTTAAAGGACAATTCCACAGATTTATTTATTTATTTTTTTTCAGTTATTTTTTATTATTGAATGGTTAAGATGTAAACAGAGTCATTGAGAGTGGTTTGGTATGAAATGCTCAGTTCTAGAGAAACTTACAGAGTCAGAATTATTCACAGTGGTGGTGATAGGAACCAGACATCCACCTCTAAAAGCTCCCTCACAGAACGTTATTACATGAAATGGTTGTGAATTCACTGCCTGATGACTGAGACACTGATTTACGATAGTTTTGAGAAGATTTTGACCTTAAACATATTTTAAAATTCATTTGTGATTCCTTGTAAGGTAAAATAGTCCCCAAGCTTTTTTTTTCTTCAGATTTACCGCTATTTTTATCACCTAAGGCTGTTAAATGCATGAAATTTTAGCTAATTGTCATATAAATAAAGAATGTCATATAAATAACTGTGATTAACGATTTTATTTCTTTTTTTATGCAAAAAAAAAAAAAATTCATGCAAAATTAACTAATAATCATTCCCAGATATATTTATTCACACAAATGTCTTACACACACTCATGTGTAGAGTCAAGCAGAGCAAATGTTTGGAAAAGAGTTGGAAAAGGAAATACAAACAAGAAACATTAAATAATAAGTAATTTTCATTTAATGTCAGTGCACCACATTAGAAATTTTCGTGAGTCCTACGATGTCTCAATAAATGCATTTACAGCTTTCTTTTATTTACATGTATTTGCCTCAACCCAGGATATACCACTCCCTTTTTGCTTGTTGCAGCATAATATTATTGTGGAACCTAACGACTGTGGAAAATTAAGACGTGTAGGTTCACTGGTGGTTTTGTATAGTGAATAAAATGTCTATATTTGTGTTGTAGTCATGGTGACCCCTGGTTCCTATCACCACCACTGTAAAGAAATCTGAGTTTCTACAATCTCTGTAATTCCCCTTTAATCATGTGTACTGTGCTGTGATGTTTTCATGCTGTAAGACAGGTTGAATGTCAGGTTAGAACCATGTTTGTTACCCTGTGGTTCTGGTAGGCTGTGACTGCAGTGAAGCGCGTTTCGGTGAAGGAGAAGGTGCAGAAGTTGCGGTGGGCGGTGAGCTGACTGTCCTTCCGTTGATCCACCAGCACCACATGAAGCCGAGGCTGGTACCGGTGCATGGAGTTCAGGATGATCTGCATGTTCAACAACACGTACGTGATGAAAAATGAGTATCTCTGTTCGTCACCTGAGAGTTGGAACTTCTGTATAGCAAACAATGTCGTGAATAATGAATGATTCAGTGCGTGAAATCGAAATACATCAGGTTCATAATTATGATAGACATTGACACTTGGAGGAGTGAATGTCAAAGTTTTGAATTAGTGTCTCAAAATAATGACTTATTTCCTCAAAATATACTGTTTTTTTGGAAATATTCACTAAATTCCATGAAATATTGCCTAAGTATCTTGAAATAATGACTTATTTTCTCAAAATATTGACTGTTTCTCAAAATAATTATTTGTTTTCATGAATTTTTTTTTTAATTATTAAGATGAAATTCTGATTCAAAACAATGAGATATTGCATTTTAAGAAAATGTGATTGAGATAAATCATTATTCTGACATTTGAGACTTGAGAAAATAAGTAATTCAATCAATTAACTTATTATTCCTACATCATTCAACAAAATACTATCCATCTAGAGAGCGAGAGACTAGAGAGACAGCAGAGAGAGAGAGAGAGAGGGAGAGGAAAAACAGGATAAAAAGACAAAGAAGTGAAAGACACATAGCAGCTGTTGATTAGCGTCTGCGTCTTACGTGGCCATTATCGTCCAGCAGGTTGTTGGTGAGTTTGAGGCGGTCGAATGAGACAGTCTGCTTCATCCACTGAGCCCCGCGGGCCGGCGAGTCCGGGTGGAAGTGGACACGTCCCGGTACCGCTGCGTCCCCTCGCCCTGCCACCAGCCACGAAGAGCTATGGAAGGCATACCTGCGGAAGAAAAGGAAGATCATTTTTGTCACCATAACGATCCGTATATGGGGTCCATACTTCAATCCCTCACTCTCATAAACACAGAATTCATATATTTGTTTCTTTAAGGGGTCAGTCGATAATCAGAACCAACATTCAGCTGCATTTTTACACATACAGGAGTTTTACTGACACCGATCATGAGAACGTCACCTGTATCTCTTGTCATCCACAGGAATGAAGTCCATCAGGAGGACATACTCTGCTGCAGGGTCCATGCCTGTGATGTGCACTTGAAAGGTAGGGAACATCCTCCTTTTGAAACACAGACAAGAAGATATTAGAAGTGAGCATAATTATGCTAAAATTAATAAACCATGATCTTTAAACCACTGTTCTGAAAGGGGAACATCACAATAATAGATGTAAACGGTGATTGATTCACAAATTAATGCATACAGCTCTGTAATGAGCACAAACAACAAATGTATTATTATCTATATACATAATGATATATGGATAAGGAAATGTTTGGAGTGAATGTTGCCAGTAGTACCTATTTGCAGTTAAGTATTATAATAAACAAAAGTAAAGTAAAGTATTTAAAAGCATTATAATAACACGAATATGACAAATTTATCATCAAGTCATCAAATGAAAAATGAATATAAATAAATCATTTCAGTATATTATGTATCATTTAATAACTTCTTGTTCATAGAATTCCTGGTTTGGTTAATAAAACAAAAAAAATTGGGTGAATGTTTAAAAGGGAATTCCACATTTTTCAAAATTCCTTGAGAGTTCAGTGTGTGAGATGTGAACAGACTGATTCAGAGTGATTTGGTGTGAAATGGTTCAGATGTCTTTACAGTGGTGGTGATAGGAACCAGGGGTCGCCATGACTACGACACAAATATAGACATTTTATTTACTATCCAAAACCACCAGTGAACCTACACGACTCAGTGAACCTACTCTTCTGAGCTTATACGGAATGTTGATTATGGAAAAATAGTGGAAAATCTGAAAATCTGAAAGTGTCTCAGATATCAATCAGTGAATTCATAACCATTTCATGTAACTTTCTGTGAGGGAGCTTTTAGAGGTCTGGTTCCTATCACCACCACTGTGAACAATTCTGACTCTGTAGGTTTCCCTGAAGTTCAGTGCTAAGTTGAAGTGTTTAAACTTACCTCCCAGCTTTTGTGACTATCATCTCCGTGCCAAGCTGGTCAAACTGCTGCCACAGTTCGAACGTCTCCAGCTGAACTTTGATACCCGCTACCTGAGGAGCTTTGGCGCAGGTGTCCTCTGGCAGGAAAGGTAAGCCCATGGTGCAGGCCTGGGTCAGCTTAGAGACTGGAGATAGAAGAAATGAGGGACAGAGAGAAGAGGAAGTCAGGTGAGAGGGTAGAAGCACACCAGCCTCGACAAAGCAGTTTATGAATCATGGACACAGGTACGGAAGCCCATTCCCGCCAATTAGAGGAGTTAATGACAAAATAATAGACTTATTATGATTGATAATATGTAGGACCATATCAAATAATAAAAGTAAATTTAATAATAAAAACGACTCAAATCAGGTAAGTATAAAAAAGAAACATTAATAATAAAAACACAAAAAACTAGAAAATATAAAACAGTAATGAAAGTGTAACTAAAATGTAAAAATTAATAAAATCAAAAGAAGATAAACAAAAGGAGGATAAGATCAAAAAAGGAAACTATCATTAATTAAAATTATTAAAATAATAACAAAATAAACATAAGTAAAACAAGAATAAGAATATGAATAATAATAAGTGAACAAATAGATAAATAAAAAAAAATAAAACAACTGGAAAATGAAAATATGACAATAATAGGAAAAATCAAGTAAAACAGTTGCAGGCAGAGTGGAGGATGTTAGAAAGTTAAAAGTTTTGCAAAATAATTGCTTAGTGACTTAAAACAATGACTTATTTCCTTAAAGCCCTGACTACCATGACTTATTTTCTTAAAATATTGGCTTAGTATCTCAAAACATAATGACTTTTTTGAAATAATGACATTTTGTCAGCATTTTGACTCTCCGCCTCAAAATAATGACTTATATTCATTACATTTATTTAATAAAGCAGTTTATGAATTAGCAAAACAAAGCTGAAAGGGGAAATCAGCATTTACCATCCATTGAAGTGTGTTTCTGTGCTGCTGTAGTTCTGCTCTGCCGGTTTATTAGGGTCTCCAATTAAATCCGAACTCTGTTAGAACCTCCGCGTCAAAGTTTCTCTGTAACAAGGTGAATGAAGCACCTTCTAAGCCGTGTGTCCATGCAGTCTGTGCTGAACCGAGCTACTGGGTTTTATATGTTCTGAGATGCTAATTAGGCTTCAGCTCAACACCTCAGTGTCCAAAACACATAGACCATCAAGACCAAGTACTGCTTAATTACATGTATATATTACCTACTATTATTGACTGACGATAGAAGGCCATCAGTGGGCCCATGTTTTGGCGACAATCGATCAAACGTCTCTGTGACCCAATAGCAGCGGTCAACACACGGCTAATTGGAACGGTACGACTAGGAAACAAAGGAGATGCCCTCTGACCCATAGTGGACAATGCAGTTCTTCAGTGGCTCAGCTCTGCCTTTAGCCAGTGCTAAATTAATGGATCTTTAAGGAGCCTGAAGGACCTGCCAGACAGCTAAATGGATCAGCTAATATTCTTTAACATATGAAAAGATTCAGCTAAAGACAAATGGTGAGGAACACTGTGGAACCCTGTGGAACACTGCACACATCCGCAGGTATCGCTCAGGATGGACTTGATGATTGAGATGTTGACTTGCCTGGCAGGGATCTGTGTCTTATATTAGGATGTACAAGAACAGTTTTTAAAAATCTCTGATCATGAGAGCTTAATATGTGGTTTTGAGAGTAAAAAATCATTTTAAGGTGAAATTAACATGGACAGTTAGATCTTTGAGTTAAGGAGTCCCCCCTTTAGAATACTGATCCTGAAATATTATTTATTTAAACTTTCCTTGTAGAGACACAAAGGTTTAAAAAGTACCAACATTTTGAAATTAAAATTTAAGCTTTAAACTCCAAACCTTTTTTTGCATTTCTGTATAAAAAAAAATATAAATATACAGTGCCCCTTTAGCATCCATTTAAGGTACACAATTTGACACTAAAGGGCAATTCTACTAATTTTTTTTTTAATTTCTGCATAATTGATTGGTTAAGATGTAAACAGAGTCGTTCAGAGTTGTTCACGGTGGTGGTGATAGGAACCAGAAAGTTATTACATGAAATGATTATGAATTCACTGCCTGATATGAGACATTTTTCAGATTTTCCACCATTTTCCCCATCAACATTCCATATAAACACTCAGAAGACACGTGTTGGTTCAATGGTGGTTTTAGATAGTAAATAAATTTATTTGTGTTGAAGACATTGTAAATTTTCACAATGTAGGATTTTTGTAGGATATATTATGTTGATGATGGTAAAATATTGATAGATCTGAAATAATATGTTTTCTTTGGGGACTATTTTTTCTTACAATGCCTGCGTATTATCTATTCCTCCACCACAAATGGGTTTTAGGCCTAAATCTTCATAATACTATTGTAAAACAGTGTCTCAGACATCAGGCAGTGAATTCATGACCATTTCATGTAATAACTTTCTGTGAGGGAGCTTTTAGAGGTGGACGTCTGGTTCCGATCACCACCACTGTGAACAATTCTGACTCGGTAAGTTTCTCAAAAACAGAGCGTTTCACACCAAACTACTCTGAATGACTCTGTTTACATCTTAAACTTTTAATTATTTAGAAATTTTGAAAATCTGATTTTAACTTTTAACTAGTTTGTAGAGCCAAGATGTGGCAAAAACAGCATGCTGACATATTCTGGCCCAGAATTTAAGGGTGTCCACCAAAAAAATCCAACGTCATTCAGTGACCCTTTGCTTTTAAGGGAGTGATAATGGATCCCTCATTATAATGCTCATGGAGCAAAGGATTATGGGTTAGTGTTGATACGGTTTTGCCTGAGGCGATTCATGAAGTTGTCTCATCCATCTAATACTAATAAATACCAGATCTCTAAACATCAGGATCTGTCAGGTCCTGTTGATTTATTATCCTAATAAAACTCCACAAAACAGTCTTTGCTTGTTCGTGTAAATCTTCTCTTTCTTTAGCTTTTGTCGTCAGACTGAGGGAGATTAGACAATTCATGAATTTTAATAAACGAATACAGTCCTGTGCAAAAGTCAGAAACCACCCCTCATTTATTTAATTTGTATTTGTATTTAATTTTAATTTTTAATTTGTATTAATAGTATGTACTATTAATTTTTCAGTGTCTGGAAAGGCAGCAGAAAATACATATACAGGAAGTTACACATCAACAATTAATTACAGTATCAGATTTGTTTAGCATTTAGTGTCTCCACTCGTTCCCTTTATTCCAGCTTCCATTCTTTTCAGGAGACTCACTTTGTTTTCCAAAGGATCTGCAGACACACCTCCAAAGTTCAGTCTTAAAAGCTGGTTGATCATTTTCTGAAGTAATCAAACACATTCAGTGGTGTTGAGGTCTGGACTCTGGGGTGGTCAGTCCATTGTTCAGCTTCTTTGTTTGATGTGTCCGTCTCCTTTTCTCAGTGAGGTTCTTCTTGATCAGCTACACATCCTTCCAGACCCATAGCGCTGAGTCGTCTTCTCACAGTGGAAGGATGGACAGAAACACCTGTGGATGTTTTCAGATCTGAAGCAGCTTGATTTTCTCCTCTCTTTCAGAGATGAAAGCTTTAAGTGCTGTTTATCTGATGGGGCAGTTTTGGGGTCTACCAGGTCTTCCAGGTGGTTGTTAGGAGCCACATTTTCTCTGTAACTTTTAAACAGTTTTTGAACTCTAGTTTGGAGACTCACTTATTTTCCTTTGACTTTCTCCTTCATTATGCAAGTGGATTATCTTATATCTAATCTCCTTAAAAATATTTCCTAAAAAATAAATTACTTTGTATTTTATTGGCAAACTGATGGAGATCTTAATATTATTTTACAAATCAACATTTTTATTTTATTAACATGTTTTTATAAAGTGGAAAGACTGGAAAATATTTGACATATAAATCATAACCCAAGTAAGCTTTTTATGATTTTCTTTTTTTAAGCCTTAGAAACCTAAATTTTGGGGCATTTCTTTGGTATTTTTGGGTCAATTACAATTACAATTATAAATATTTACACTAAAATAGTGAAAACTCTGAAAGAAGTTTTTGTGACCTGCATGTATCCCTCCACCATGAATGGAGTTTAAAAGTATGTTTGAGGCCAAAACCTTCTCAGAATGATCATAAAACAATGTCTCATCATGCTTTATTTCAAAATAAAAAAAATGTAAAATTCAGTTTGCTTATACAGTTAAATAGCCAAATAGGAAAATGTAGTGCAGAATTTTCAACTCCTCATTTAATAAATGTCAAAACCTCTATCTAACAACTGCTAAATGTTAAATGTTTAATGGTTAATAAGGAGAGGGGAGCTGGTTAGCTTTCATTGGGGACTATTTTGCATCACAACACCCTGCATATATCCCTCCACCATGAATGAAGTCCAGAAATACGTTTTAGACAAAAACCTTTTCAAAACTATGGCAAAAACAATGTCTCAGAGACCAGGCAGTGAATTCATAACCATTTCACATAATATCTTTCTGTGAGGGAGCTTTTAGAGTTGGACGTCTGGTTCCTATCACCACCACTGAGAACAATTCTAAGTTTCTCTAGAACAGAAGCAGGTCAGCATCACCTTTTTGCCATCAGATGCATGCATGACAGAAAAAGAGCACATGGTTTTAGAACCAGTGGAGCCCGACCTGAATTAGTTCAGTCTACGGCAGATGTCAAGGCCTATTAACCCTACACTCTAATCCAACCTGGATAAAACAGAGCTACAAGGAGCTGCGGGGGTTATGGGGTTAATTTAGGAAAGTGTACTTCGAATTGGCCTCTACCACCAGCCTATCAGAAGCAATATCTCACAAATAACTATGACTAAAGCCTGGGCTTATAAACTAACCTAACCAGATCACACGTCAAAGAGAAAAGGTGAACAGAGTGAGTAATCCAGAGAGTCAGATCGTTGGTAAGTAGACTGAGATGACGTCACAGTCATTTGTTCTCACAGAGGGTTTTGGGGAGTCCACCAGAGAGTCTGAACCGAAGGGATGCATGACATTAGGAAAATCTTAGCTGACTTGAGGTTCATAACGCAGCTTTATTTTTTAATTTGCTGGAGACAGCACCAAGAAGAACCACACAGCAAGAAGAAACATAATCTCTCCAGCACTGAAAGCTAAAAACACAGCCCTCTGCTGTACTCTGGAAACGCACCATTCCACCCGCATTCAGGCTCTTCAGCAGAAAAGTCCTTGTAGGAATCACCCTAAAACGGCCCAATAT